AGAAATTCTTTCTGTCTGCCCTTGTGTTGCAACCATGGAATGTGCTCGCTCTCTCTCTCTCTTGTATCACTTTTCTGGGTTGAGAGTCAGAACCTGTTACCTGACTTCCCTCCAAGATCAGGGAAGGAGAAATATACCAGGTTTCACACACCTTGAATTTGTCCTTAGACCGTGTGTGAAGAAAAGGAACATACTCCTGTGACATCTGTTCAGATACACGTCTCACATCTGGATTGGGGACAAGACAAAGTCATGGGAACTCCACAGAAAAAAGATATCACCTGATATCTTTGAATCCTCTTTATTTGCAAGTGGGGAAACACCCTCTTCATGTAATACATTCCCCTTCTTCCTTCTTTACATGCCTTCAGGCTTCCTTTGGAGGTGAATGGATTAAGGGGGATAATAATTTTTTGCTGCCCATTTTCTTGGAGGGAAGTCAACTGAGTGCAATGACTGGAAAAGAAAGGAAAGAGGCAGGAGAGGGATTGGGGAAAGGAGAACTCTTTTTTGAGTGGGGTGGGAAGTGTAGTGGGTTTTGTAGTTGTTTTTAATTTCTGTAAGCTGCCCAGAGTCACCGTGAGTGAGTTGGGCGGTGATATAAATTGAGTAAAAAAATAAAATAAAGTAAAATAAAGTAAAAACTCTGCAAAACCACTATATCTTTAAAAAAAACATGGTGTACCATGATGCAAGAGTAAAGAAAGAAGAATTTGGACGCATAATGGAAAAATTCTATTTCAGGTGTCCTTTAAACTCTGTCATCTTGGTCCATTTATCAGTTGATATGGAGCACATACTCATACACGGTGGATTGGCTTCATCATCCATTCATACCTGTGGGATTTTGTAGATGCTCAGCATGGTTGAAATACAGTTAAAGAGCTCAGAATCAGTCCCTTCAAGCACAGCCAACAGATTTTTTGGTCTTCCACATCTGTAATTTGGGACATTTTCCTGCCCTGTAGTAAGCAAGTCTATAATGGACTCATATGTTATTCTAGCACTGAAGAAGTTGTCATAGATGCTGTAGCCCAGGGTGATGTTGGATAAGAGCCTTGGATTCTGGTTGATCTCATGAATGGTAAAGATGAAGGGCAGAACATGCCACCAAGTTATGTTATCACTGCAAGATAAGAGATATTAATAGATCTTCCCCCTCAGTTTGGATTTCCATCTTCATTTCAAAAGGTCTTCATGTCATATTGCTTTAAGGGAATGTATAAGTCATCAGCTGATTTCTATCTTATTGGTATAAATAGGACAGTAAATAAAGCCATAGTGTGAAATCGATGGAATAGCAATGAAACGGGTAATTCTGAAACATCAAGGTAATCTAGGCAATCTCCTGAAGGGCAGAGAGGGGCAGGAGGTCACTCTCACTACATTGCAATTGAGGAACTGCTGGCAAGCATTTATTGCTCCATTGATAACTAGTGAACTGCTGAATCCTTTATTTACAGGGCCTGTCCTATTGATGGCCTTCACTGGGTGCTCCAATCAGAAGAAAAGTCCCAGTGATGCAAGAGGGACCTTCTGTCCAAGATGAAGATCAGGAAGAAACATTTTTATTTAAGGTTCAGAGTGATCCTCACTGGAAGTCCTTGACTTGACCCCAACTATTATTCTCTCTAAATGATGGCTTACGGGGCAGTCTTCCATACTCTTATAGGAGGTATCAAAATGGGTTGTGTATCTTCACAATTGGATGAATTTATTTAAAATTTAAAATCCACATTGGAAAAGTACAATCAGGTTTCTGTTAAATAATTCTCTTTTTGTTGAGTACTTCCTACAGGATTTCTTTGACTGCTAGTTGTATGACTACTTGAAAGGAAATATTCTGGCAAAACCCAAGCCAGGAAT